GATCTTTTGTCGAAAGTTGGCAAAAAAAAAAACAAGAATACATAACAAACAAGTCAACCCTCTACCGTTTTATAATGACAAAATTAAATGCATCTGGGATGCGACAGATTTTTATAAACTAAACAGCAATAAATATTTTTTTTTGTGCCCTTTGGTGCAACCCTAATTTACTTTAATTGAACATTTAAACTGCCATTGCCGCCAGCACAGAGCAAACATCAACCAAGATACGTACCTACACAGCAGTAAACCACCATCCATCATGGAGAGTACTGACTTGCGCAAGAGGAATAGAGAGGCCGTGCGGTGTGCATTTCAAACTGAACTGAACATCTTTTCAAACGTGTTTCATATTACCCCTTCAATTTCAGCTGTTGTTTGCACCCAGTAGTCCCAGGAGATTCTCAAAAGAGGCAAAATAGTTGAACCGTGCGAAGCTCAATTGCGTTTTCTAGTGCTAGTGGTGACAGTTAAATTTTTAGCCATGCGGCCGAAATTTAAAACTAATGATTGACGTAATTACTCTCGAGCTTACTCTTATCTTTATTACATCAAACTAAATAAACTAACTGAACTAAAAGAAACTTTATAACGGCGCCGGCGGTGTAGTGGTAAACGTGATTACCTCTCACCCTAGCAGGCCTGGGTTCAATCCCAGTCGGCGCCGCCGGGATGTTCTGAGGCATAACATCTCTGATCACGCCTTCCTTCGGATGGGAAGTAAAGCCGTTGGTCCCCGGTTCATGAGTTGATGGGTCGATAGGTAGGGTCCAGGTGTGGGAGCTGCCTTCCTGGCACGTCGGTAGCATTGGTGCTCAGCACGGAAAACAAGATCGACGGAAAAAACAACCCAAAGGAAGAAAAGAAACTTTATAGTATTTTCAACTACTACATAGTAGTATCAAAATCTTTATCAATCTGCTTTCTATCTACACACCGTTAGCGCATCTCATAGAAAAAAGAAATCTTTCCTACAACTTAGAGTATGATGCAATTCCATAGAAAAAAAAGTTATAGTGGGTAATTTTGTTCCTCATCGAAAAGTTTTAGAGATATATTTTTTTTATTATTTAAATACGGTAGCACCTTCCGTGTTAGGGTGGTCTGTAAAATCAGCATTTTACATAATTCTTATTAAAAAATATTAACTTTTGTTTTTGGATCAAATAATCACATGTAAGATAAAAAAAATTTTATTTATAGGAACAATACGAATATGAACTTTAATCGTGCATTTACATTAAAACACATTGATTATAATCGATTTTTGTTGCCTCAAAATCAAAGGCACAATTGCATATTATATATTTTACAGAAAATTTGGAACTACACAACATACAAAAAAAAAAAAAAAAAAATCCGTGGTGCAAGCGTTTCTGAGTTACATTTTTGCAAAAAATTAAGAATTTTGATTTTGCTCATAAACTGCCATGAGTCTCCTTTATTGAGAGATTTCCAAGCCGAATTGGCGCTTCAAGTTCATTTTGATGTTCTGAAATTGGCGTACCAGAATGGTAAGTTAATCCGATATATTTTTTAGCTTTTCGACATATAGTTTTTAGCTATTTCGGATATGTTGATTATTTGATTGGTTGTTTTGGCGGTGATTTTAAGAAATTTTGACGTTCTAGGGGTATTCATGTGGATTTCAGACATTGTGTAATTTAAGAGCTTTTTGGGTGATAATTTTGGCGTTCTCAAGATCATTTTGATTTTAAAGAATGTGTCTTTAACTTTCAAACCCTCAATGTTTAAAAACTACCCTATAACAATTCAAAATAGTTGATTTGATTTCAAGCTACTAGCTGAAGAAACGTTGTTTATATCTTATCTCTTAACTTTATTTGAGTACTGTCATAATCGAATCAAATTTAATCTAAATCCAACATCCAGTTATACCACTATCATGTTTCTTGTCTATTTGATATATGTTTCACATCGAAGATGCGTCACACATACCTAAACGGCCAGGCCTACTGTGCACCATTTAAGGGCAAGATGATTCAGAAAACATCGGGCCTGTTTAAATCGAAAATTTAAACACTATGCTTCAAAATCCAATAAATGGAACGATGAAAACTGACGGTTGGGACGTGAGAACTAATTCTGGTTCTAGTCTTTAATGACGTATGGTTATAGCGCCATTACTCGCTATATGAAAAGAGAAGAAGGAAAGGAAAAGGAAACAGATTATAAAGTATATGCTCATAAACAATATTTTTGATTTGAAATATACAATATGAAAATTAATAACGGGCGTGGCCACTGCCCGAGTCTTGTCACTATTAACAAGGTATAAAAAGTAGCATGGACTAATATGTGTTCCTTTGATTAATCCTGATCCCCTAGTTTGCAGTTGTCAGGACTGGGGTTCGGTGGTAGATCTTATACCAGTAACTCTGCACGATCTATCGGCGTTACTCGTTTAACGTTATTTGAGAATCACCGTAATTATAATAATTTTTTGTCTTGCTAAATTTCCATCTTGTACTTCAGTGAACCGGTCGTATGTCATAAAGTATAATAGATATCATTTTACTTTTCTCTTCAAAAATGTATATTTCAACATGCCCTAAAAATCATCTCGGATAAGTAAAAATAAAAACGTTAAAGCTATAAACTTAATTTTTCATGACCATCCTAGGTCCATTCAGAAAAATTACTCCAAACTGAGACCGGTAAGAGATAGAAAAATGTGTCTCCAACAAAGTAGCTTAAATTATCTTAGCTACAACTTTGCTGAAGAACATGTGTTTTTATTTCAAAAATAAGAAAGTTAGTTTTTCGATAACTATAATTTGAGGAGTACCCTAATTTCAAAAACAGCCAAAAGAACGAGCTTTCTACATTGAAAAAGTTTACAGAAGAAATTACGCCTCTTAAACTTAAGATACGTACACTTGGTATTTCTATATCCCATCCTGGACCACTTTGCAATGGAAACTTGCAACTTAGATTGTTCGAGCTTAAAAAGATTCAAAGGGATTTTTATTATTTTTTAATTATCTTTACTTTCAATTTCTCACTAATCTGAGTTGCAAGCTTCCACTCTACTAAGGGCCTAAGGGTTCCAAATGACACGGCTCCTCTATTTCAAAGATTTGTCTTGGCAAGCTGTTTTTAGTTCAAAAAGCTTTTTCTTTTTAATACAATTTTTTATGAAAATAGTTGAATAACCTTTTAAAAATTTAATTTTGACGTAGAACTACGTCTTTGTCGACTATACTGGGGTGCAAATCAAAAAATATGTGTGGTGAAGGAGTGATAGGTTTTGAACGCTTGTAACTTTGTCATTTATAGATGAAATTAACATCCAAAAACGCCAATCGATAGGATATTACATTACGAACCTGTTGAAATAAATATGTTTCCAATTTTTCTGTAATTAAACTTTTGAAAATGTAAAATGATAATTTTATCACTGATTTCATGAAATAAGCTTATTTCCCAAACCCAGTCATCATAAACGAATACCACTTGGTTGCACATCATTTTGCTTGAACCTGAAAAGATATAAATCAGCGCTGCTCTCATGCCACTGCTCATTACCGCTTCGGACGGCGTGGCACTAGGTCCTGCATCAAGCAGGACTAGGTTAGCGGCTAAAGGTGGATCACAGCGTATCCACCACAATTAGGAATGAGACTTGAAAAAACGTGCATGTAAAAAGTAAAGTATTTCTGGGAAACATATAAATTGTTATTTTGAGTAAATATTCAATAAAACAATATAAATTTTTAATGTTTCATGGTATTAAATATTCCAAAAGTATTTTTAATTATTAAAATGAAAGAAATACTTTTTGAGATATTTCAACTTTCAAAACATTTTTTCTACAACTACATAACTGATAGAGCTAAGCTTAATAGTTTCATTGGGATGACAACTGATCTGAGTAATCGCTTCATACCCAGTTTAAGCGCAAGTTGTACTTACCTAAGGAACCCTTATTTCCGAGAAAGAGCCCTAGGATGGACTGGTGTTCAAGACGAGAAATTTAGATGATTAAAATCTCTACTGTCAGACATCACAAAACTTCGGTACTATTCGACGAGTTCTTTGGATAAGATGTAGCAGTATTCTATTCTAACGGTATTATCAGATTTGTTTCTCGTACTCTTACAAAAATAGAGAAAACTTAAGACAGTTAAAAATGTCTCAAGACGAATTTCAACAAAAGGTCAAAATGTTTTTTATTATTCATGAGCTTTTTAATTAAAAAAAAAAATATAAAAAAAATCGGGCCAAAAATTTTAAGATATATAAGTTTTTAACATTTTATTTTTAATTCATACTTGAAATTGCTGTATATGTTTGTATATTTTTCCCAGAAAGAAGTGCCATTTTTGAGCTACATTTGTTTTTGAAAAATTAAAAAGTATTTTTTTTTTTGGAAATTTACTTGATCCAAAATTGACTGAATTTCAGCAAAAATGTTATTCATTGACCATAACAAACAATTATGCAAAGTTTCATGCAAATCGTAGAAGGTCGAGTTTTTCCGATTCGTCATTTGGCGTGTAAATACTCTTTTGCCTTTCCTCTTTTTATTTTTGACCCACTAAAAGTGATAGGACCTTTTGTCCATTAGTCCATTTGTGAGCATTCGACCTTTTGTCCCTAATCATTTCATTTGACCTTTTTTTTTCCATTTAGATCTATATCTTTTCGACCTTTTGTCCCTTTAAATTTCATTCGACCTTTTGTCTATTCAAATTTCCGTCGTCCGTTTTTATCATTCGACGTTTTTTTCTAAAACCATTTTTCATTTTCAAATAATTAAAACCATTCAGATACACAATTTTTACTCATATCATGATGATTTTCTCTATTTGATCTTTTTCAAGAAAAATGGAATTATTCACTAAATGTTGCATGATATGTTTCATGATACCTTCATCATATTAATATGCTGTGATATTTTTCAACGCATTTTTTCATATTTGAGTTATGAGTTTTCAATTGTTTATTTTCGAAGTTCAGTTGAAAATTTTCTGTTTTGATATCGGTTTGCACTTTACACAATTTTTACATTACCTCCTTAAATTGACTAAAAGTTACTCTTTCTAACGTTATACCTATTTAAAAGCTACGGCTATGTACATTGCATCGAAGCACTTGATAATAGAATTAGGTTGAAGTTTTGATTTTGAATGGGGGAAAAATGAGCTTCTTCAAATATTTTTTACACTTTCCACAACCTGACCATTGAATGAGATTAAATCTTTTGTCTAGAACGGTGGAAAAAATCATAATAATTGCAACAGTTGACTTGTGTTTGATTCATCACATCGTTTTATGAGTGCGAGTGACCGAGATGGTGGCCACCGAGAGGATGAAAGTACGGCCCATACGGTGGGTACGGCACGGCATGTGGATAGAGAAGGCTGCTGGCATATGATCCTGGACCAAATGACCCTCCATTCGGAGGAGGCACCGTCGGGCTGTTTACGTCCAAACCGGGATTTTGCTTTTTCCATTTAGTACGACGATTTTGAAACCAGATTTTTACCTGTTGAATGTGAAGGCGTTAAAAAATACTCATAAATTGGAATGATTTAACAATTAATGTTAATAACGGGTGTTCAATAAAAAATGAGAATGATTTCAGTGCCGTCCAGCGCTCTTGTGAGAGCATCGTGACTAAGTTGCGTCGTACGGCTGACTCCAATGTTCATTGACGTTTTTTTGAAGAATAAACATTATGTTTTTTTTTTAAATACTGTTACTGATTTTTTTTACTGGCTATATGACTGAAAAAATTCTCATTTTTTATTGAACACCCGTTACTCTCACAACAAACATTTAATGCTGAATAAAAGCTTATACAGACAAAAACACCTTATTTTACAATAAAAAAGGGGCTTATACAGGTTGTAATCAACTTAAATTGTTTGTTGGGATGTTTTTTTTAAATCATGTAAATTACCTGTGTCTCTGTAAGGCTTAAACTTAGTGCTAAATTCAGTCTCTCGCATACCGATAGATATCGGGTTGTTTTAAATTTGTTCTCTAAGGAAACAAGTTGTTCGTATGTGAATGCGGTTCGTGCCCTGTAAAAGAATAAAGAGTTTGTTGATACATTATGTTTAGTTCTATTGTTTGAAGCTTGGATATTATGGCAGATTGGAGTGGGCTATACATAGCATAGCATAGTTCACCTCACAGAATGATTTTTGTTCAAGATTGTAGGAATAACAAAAAAAAATCCGCATATTTGGGAGTCTGATTATGGATAAATTAAACTCAAATGTACATAAAATTTACTCAAACATTGTTATAATTTGTTCAATTTTGAATGAAAAATACTAGTTCCCTATTTTTTAATTCCCCGTGTTTTCACTGATCTAAGGTTAACTATACCGAGGGGCAAACCACTTGAATAATTGCATATACGACTCGTGAAATTTGTTGAAGCGAAGCTGTTAGCAATCGAAGCAAGCCTCGACATTTATACTTAATTGTAAACGTCTTAAGGGGGTATTCCCGATCTTTTTTTTCAAAAAATCAAATTTTTTTTTTCACGTTTTTTTGTACTTTAGACTATATACTTTCATCCCCCCAAGCCGTTTTCCGATCAGCGAATTCGGTGTCCAGGCATAGCTGACTAATGGTAAGAACCCCCAAATGGTTTTAACTAAAGTCAAAACTTTAAACGCGTTTTTCTCGAAACCACATTTTTTTTATCAGGCGAAGATTTTTCTCAGAAACTATAAGAGATATTGACTTGAATCTTTGCGCATTTTGTTCCTTATTAAATTCTTTGGAGCTTCTCCCACTTTCAGCCAAAAATATTAACATTTAACATTGTTTGAAGCACCTTAAAGTTGCAAAAAAGCGGGCTAAAAATCGCCTGTTTTTTCATATGGCCGCCATTTTGTTAATTTGCAAGATTTTTTGCTGGCAACGGGAGAAGCTCCAGAGAATCTTATGCAGATTATTAATTTCATCACGAAATCTGTTTCAGATGAACCGTTCCAGAGAAAAGTCTTCGCCCGTCCAGGCGTTTGCAGCGAACAGGGGTCTGTTTGTCGCCATTTTGTGACGTCAATAATGTCTTTTTTTATGTCGAAAAAAATTTATTTGTAAACTTTAATGTTCAATAAACAAGAATCCCAAAGAGTTAGGCGCATTACTGTTAATTTTCCTTGAAAAAAATTAATTGAAAAACAGGCCGAAAAAAGGCAAAAGATTGGGAATACCCCCTTAAATAAAATTAGTTCTTCTCTAACCACTACCAAAGACAGACGTCTTTAGCTACTCTCTACAGGTTATGGGCCTGTCGTGAAAGAAGATAGAAAAATGAGTACAAGTTCGAATTCCAACGGAGTTTCTCAAGGCGGTTCCTCAAGTATTCCTCCCATCGAGAGGTTTACTGGACGGGACAACTGGTCCTCAGGGAAGTTCACAGCGAAAACTTTTCTTCAGCTGGAAGGAGTCTGGGATGCAGTGAAGCCGAAGCAGAAACCAGACGGTTCATTCGAACCGATGGATGTGCAGAAGGATCTGCGAGCGCGGTTGAAACTGATCCTGCTTCTCGATCTGCTAATCTATGTGCACATTGAGGACGCGGAATCGGCCGAAGCTGCATGGACCAAGTTGGAAATAACATTCGAGGACAAAGGCCTTTCTCGGCAGATCGGTTTGCTCCACAAGCTCAACAAGTCCGATCTAGATTCGTGTGGATCAATGGAAGAATACGTGAACCAGGTAATTTCGACAGCGCACCAGCTGAACGGCATCGCATTCAAGCTTCCGGCTCTCTGGATTAGCATGATCTTGTTGGCTGGCCTCCCGGACGATTACCGACCCATGATTATGGCCTTGGAAAACTCTGGAGTTGCCATAACCGGCGATTTTGTCAAGACCAAACATCTTCAAGAGCAAACGTTGCTAGGCAGCAAGAAAAACAACCAGGCCTTTGCAACCAAGAAACGGCATGAAACAAACTCGAAGCACATGAAGCAGTCTACTTCATCCAAGGGCCCGAAATGCAGAAAATGTGTTCGGTACGGACACATCGCCAGGGACTGCAAGGATTCAAGGAAAGGTGAAACATTTTGAACGGTGCTATCTACGTTTGGCAAGAAGGATGCGAACGACTGGATTTTCGATTCTGCGGCGTATGTACATATGACGAGCAATCGAGAGCTCCTCACAAATCTGGATCAAGCAGAGGGTAAGGTTGTTGCAGCTAACGATGGCATGATGGATATCGTTGCCTGTGGAACGGCAAATCTTCGATCGGTGTGCAGGGATGCTCTAGATAACGTTGCAGTGAGTGACGTGCAGGTTATTCCTGGGTTGACGGCGAATCTTCTCTCGGTCAGTAGAATCGTGCAGAAGGGGTATTCCGTAACTTTCAACAACGATGGCTGCAAAGTGCACAACGCAAACGACGAGCTGGTGGCAACCGGGAGCCACTCCAACAATCAATTCAAGCTGGACCAGGCGGCGAATAACACACAGGTTTTGTCGTGTAATGCTGCTGGAAGTCTCGATCTCTGGCACAAACGCATGGGTCATCTTGGTGTCGGAAATTTCAAGAAGCTTGCTTATGGCCTTGCGACAGGGATTACACTGAATGTTGAAGCTAGCGCTGCAGACTGTCGGGTTTGCCCTATGGGAAACCAGTCGAAATTGGCGTTTGTAGAAAGAGGGCATCCGACACGAGACGACCAACGATTACACTACCGAGCAAAACGGACATCCAATCTCCGATGAATCGAGCGACTTCCATGGTTTCCCCGTTGACGATAGCACTGGTGGACCGAGCGACAACGACGGTCTAGTGGCATTACTATCTGGCATGGATGGCGAATTCAGAGACGACCCCGTTTCTCATCAAGAAGCATTGGCTCGTGACGATAGCAATGCGTGAAAGCGTGCTATGCAAGAGGAGTTAGACGCACTGGTGGACAATAACACCTGGACCCTCACCAAGCTACCGAAGGGAAGGAAGGCATTCAAGTGCAAATGGGTGTACAAAACAAAACGTGATGCTGCAGGAGGAGTTCAAAGACTACTCACAGCGAAAGGGGGTAGACTACGATGAAACGTATGCTCCCGTTGTTCGCTATAGTTCGCTGCAATACCTTTTCGCCCTGGCTGTCAAGCACAACCTCACGATCGACCAGATGGATGCAGTGACGGCTTTCCTGCAGGGTGACCTCGACTGCCCCCATGCTTCGCTGATGGAAGAAGGAAGACCGAGGTGTGCAAGCTGAACAAGGCGTTGTACGGCTTGAAGCAGTCCAGCCGAGATGCGGCTCTGCGGCGATTTGGCCTGGTTTCAACGCAATACGATCCTTGCGTCTACGTCTGCATTAAAAATGGCAAAATTCTTATTGTTGCTATTTATGTAGACGATTTAATGATATTCAGCAACGACGAGACATGGAAAAATATGCTGAAGCAACAGTTATGCAACACTTTCCGGTTGAAAGATCTTGGACCTGCGAAACACTAACTTGGGATCCGGATCGGCAGAACAACTGACACGATAACGTTGGATCAAGAAGCCTACATCGAAACGATTTTGAAGCGGTTCAACATGGATCGGTGCAAACCAGTGAAGGTACCGATGAACACTAGCGAGAAACTTTCCAAGGATGAGAGCCCGATGGATGACGAGGAATCTGCTGCTACATATGAAGGATGTTCCGTATCAGGAAGCTGTCGGGTGTCTTATGTATTTGGTGCAAAGCACTCGACCGGACATACTGTTCGCCGTAAATACCCCTAGCCGGTTCAACAATAATCCAGGTATCAAGCACTGGAATGCGGTGAAGCATGTTCTGCGTTACTTACGTGGAACCTCAAACTTGAAGTTGGTCTACAACAAGCATGCCGATTCAAGCATAGTCGGCTACTGCAACGCGGATTGGGGATCCGATCCGGACGAACGTAAGTCAACCAGCGGCAACGTTTTCATGGATCAAGGCGACGCTATTTAGTGGTCATGCAAGAAGCAACCTACGGTTGCGCTATCGACGTGTGAGGTGGAATATATGTCCGTTTCGGCTGCGGTACAGGAAGCGTCCTGGTGGCGAGAACTTTCTGAGAAGAAGGTGACAACCAAAGCTGCATTGCAATCGCCAAGAGTGGTGGTTATAATCCTCTCACGAAGCATATCGACATACGCCATCACTACATCAGGGACGATTTGGATCGTGGTGTGGTGAAACTGGTTTACGTTGGCACGGAGGAGCAGATCGCTGATGGATTAACCAAACCATTGCAGAGGACGATGTTTGAAGAGAGCCGTACGATGATGGGAATCTCTGCGGCTTGACGAGGAGTGTTGAAGCGAAGCTGTTAGCAATTGAAGCAAGCCTTGACATTTATACTTAATTGTAAACGTCTTAAATAAAATTAGTTCTTCTCTAACCACTACCAAAGACAGACGTCTTTAGCTACTCTCTACAAAAATTACTCACAATACGTTGAAATTGCACCAACGCGTTTCAAAAATATATGACAGTGCATCAATAGTAACGATAGTTGGTAACACATCATTAGGAATTACATTGTCAAACCGCTAAGACGTGTTATATAGTTATAGATATAGTTATAGTTATAGTTATAGTTATAGTTATATTTGTAACTTGATGATCCAAGAATTTTTTTCAGTATGAATGAACTTATGTTCAGTGTCGAAAAAAAATCCTATATTTTAAGATTTTCAATTCACACTTAGCCCAATTGTCAAAAGCATCGAAATCCACGATGAATAACCCGAATTTATCTACCTATGGTGAGATCTGACCCGTCTTACTTGTTTGAATTCCGATAAAAATGCTCAAGTAAGCATTCAGTAATAATCTGTAATCCGCTTCTTGTAGCTCTTGAATCACGAACCACTCACGTTGGTGAAGTTTGAAAATTTTATAGAGGTTCTAAAGCATTCTACAAGTTTAAATCATAGTATGCAGAACCCTCACAAAACCAAAATGTTTACTTGGGTTGTGATCTGCATTGAACTGTTTACTGTAATGTTTATATTCGGTGAATAATTCAAGTAAGTGTGTGTTTTTTTCCTAATGTGCTATGGAGTCATCTCGTTTGTTTTTAGGAGGCCAGAACTGGAAACCAGAAGAAGATGAGTTGTACAAACTAATTATTGACATATGGTCTGAACACAAGTAGTATTGCAAGTTTTATCAGCATTCTTTAAATCCAAATCATGGGCAATAAGGTTATGATAAAAACAAATTAGTTATTTAGGAAGTTGGCTTTCTCAAATGTGGAAATAATCCTCAGGATATTTATTTCCATGATGACCATCAACTGCTCCAGATAGATAAAAATGATTGAAAATTAAATTGAGGGATGCTATAAACTAGAATAGGTTGATCATGAATATAGCGTACAAAATATTGATGAAAATTAATATTAACACACAAGTTTGAGGAGTCATGTACAAATCAAGATTATTCAGTTTATATTTGCATTACAATAAAAGCAGGTTTGAGAAAGAAATTTAAACGAATGGGCAGGCCTGGGTTCAATCCCAGTCAGCGCCGCCGGGATGTTCTGAAGCATAACATCTCTGATCACGCCTTCCTTCGAAAGGGCAGTAAAGCCGTTGGTCCCCGGTTCATGAGTTGGGCGTTCCCCAAGCTCGGAACATATCCGAGTGTGACCTATATGGGTCTGGGAACTTAATATGTCCCACTATGAGCTTATATTTAAGTTCTCATGTAATTTAATAAGTTTTGACCCATGACAGAAACTGGAATTTACCTGGAACATATCCGGTTGGGGCCAATGTGTTCCTCAATACTTGTTATGATAATCATTGAACTTGTTTTTGAATTCTAATTTGATTTAAAGTGTAGCATGATGGACTTTGGCCCATGCCAGAAACTGGACAATTACACGGGCGTACCTGGAAAATGTCCGGAAGTGTCAAATGTGGTCCTGCGAACTTTATATAACTACAATTAAACTTGGTTTTAAATTCTCATGGGATTTGAAGTGTCGCATGATGTTCTTTGGCCCATGTCAGAGACTCGTCACTTTCCCGGGGGTACCCGGAACATGTCCGGATTTTTACCAATGTGATCCTTTAACCATTTTTGTAGTCCTTTGTTACTATGTCGACTATACCTGCGAGAAGTTGGCCGTGACCACCCACGCTGTAGCTTGAGCCATACCGAACAACTCAGGACCAAGCAGTAGTAAAAGTAAGCAATCTCTGTGAATGTGGACAAGGCGCCAAGACGCCGATCACATTATTTGGTCTTTTGATGAGCATCGTGGAGTCAGATCTGAGCTGTACGATTTCCTTCGGGCTCGAGGTAGACTACCTAATGTTCCAGTTCGGCATATTTTAGCTAGAGGTGATCTGGACTTTATGAAACTCATATATGTTTACTTTATTATTTTTATTATATTAACCTTATATTGTATGTTTGATTAACTTTGTGTTTAGTTTGTATTTTTTACGCGTGGGTTTTTTTTTTGTTTTTTTTTTTAATGTTTTCAAGATGAATACCAATAAGTTCATATTTTAGGATTGATTAAATATTTGTATCGTAAACCACATTTTGAACCTCCTTCTCCCTTTTCCCATCCAAAAAATTGTAAATCTCCACTAACCTCGAGACAGTTCCTTTAACTTTAATTATAAGACATTAATAATGTACAACAAAAATGATGACTCGGCTCTGTTAAGTTTATTCGATTGAGCCTGTACAAATAAAGTTATTGATAAAAAAGTAGTTAAAGGGAAAGACACTTTCGGGGCAAGTCAATAGGATTCCAGGGGAAGTCAAAAAGAGTTTTCAAAATAAATTGCAAGAATCTCACGGCAGCAGAAAGTTCTGGAGGTGGTTAGAAGAAGCTTCTGAAGGAACCGAGGATTTGAAAGCAAATACTTTCTCTTGCATTTTGAGACTACTACAGACATTTTTATGGGGGGTTTTGAACACAAAATTTATTTTTCAGTATTTATCATATACAAATATTAAGTGAAAAATGGGCCATATCAATTAACAGTTAAATTGTTTAAATTGTTGCACAGTAAACTTTTCCGAACTTGATATTGCAGGAAACGTCGAGTTAGGGAGGATATCGAGCTACGGAAGTAAATTTTGGAAACTAGGCAAAGTGATCGAAGTATCCTGGATTTCCATCAAGTTAGGGGGAATATAGAGTTAGGGAGCGATAGAATAAGAGAGAGTTGACTGTATAAAAAGTGAAAAGTGACTCACATTTAGTATAAATCAATAATTGGCAGCCTCTAAATCAAAATTTCGATTAAAAGTAAACAACGGCAGAAAAAAACGTGAACAAAATTCACGACAGTAGGAACAAAAATTAAAAATTAAAAAAAAAAAACTGGAGATTTGTATCGCATGGTTCAATCTTTATATATGCCCACATTAGTGCCATATCCTATACATACTTTTTTCTGACTGCTATGAAACACTTTCTACAATTTCTTTCAACCTTTTTTTTTGCATTCAATACGAACTTCCACATTCTCTGCACAAACTTCTCTGTCACACAAGCCAATTATCCCACTTACCCCCTAGTTCCACTTCCCCCAGTGCAGTGTACCTTACCAATATTCGACTAAATGCTTGTGAAAAGTTAACGAAATTAATCACGCAATCTTACCTCCTAGGCTTAGAACTATTCCCCTGCGATTTTCCGTCACCAGACCGACTGCTAGTGCCGTCCTTTTTCGAGTCAGTCTCACTGGCGTGGTCATCGATGTCGCTGCCCATCGTGTCGTCGCCCATGTCCTCTTGTTCGAGGTCGTTCATATCTTTCACTGCCGTGGTGCATGTTCCGATTCAACGGGTCACGGCAAGCGGAACAAATCCAGTGGAATCCGTGAAGATGAAGAAGGGACACCGAAAAAGAGCGAGAGAAATAACGGAAAAGAAAAATCAGTAAACAGATCATTAATTAATTTCACGCTTCAACAGCGCGTGGCATCGTCATCAACATCATCATCATCATCAGGCGGCTCAACGAGCGACATTATTGTCGTTGTGTTGTGTTTCCTTTTTCAAGTGAAAAGGAAGCAGCTTTGAAAAGATTATTATTTATGGCAATTATTTTATGATTTCATCACCGTCGTTATCATTTTCGCGCGTTCGCTGATGGCGCGTTCCGAGACCCTGCGCCTGCGAGCCGTCTATCAAGTTTGTCGTGTTCAAAGTCATCGGCAATGTGTACCGACCGACAACGAATGGGAGCAGCATTATAAATAAATTCCCCAACATTTTATTATCATAGCAAACATATCAATTCCTTCAGGCCGGTGCCTGACGGGAGGGGAGAAAGCGTGCTAAGCAGCCGGTGTTGAACGGGTTATACGTACACTGTAGCCATACAGCTACAGTTGTATGGTGAACAAGACAAAACTGTTAACAAAGTTATGCTTCCTCTTTCGTCGTTCAATGATGTAGATATCTTGAAGATGAGTTGGTTCTGAAATCAAGACGGTAAGGGCGATGATACCATCTTGTTTCTTTGAATTGTAGGAAGATGGTATATACACAGCTAAAAAAAAGTAGTGTAAATTTACGTGACTATGATGCACATAAATGGAGCGTCATATAACATACAAGTTTAGATTATAGATCGTGTAAATTTATGAGACATGTCGTGCAATATTCCATATATTGTATGCAACTGTCCTCTTTTGTTTGCAACATTTCTTGAAAGCTGCTAGTTTACGTGAAAAGGAAGTTTAGATGTATGAATGTTTGCATGCATGGATGCCAGTAAAATTCAGAATTTTTTGGTGTGTATACTACCACAGGCGATATGCTAAACTAGGCATGTGAGATAAAAAATATATTTTCCAATCTAACGCGAAGTGAGTTCTACAGCATTGTCGAACAACGGTGATAAGTTGACTATATGATAGTAGATGCCAATTGATAATGGATGTTGTTATCTCAAAATTGGTGAATATCCATATGGGACTGATATGCGATTATAGGAAGTGCAATACACCGTTCGAAAAATTCATGTAAATTTCTGCGAGATATAGCGCACATAAAATTAACGTCAGATTTGGCATAAATTTACGCCATATTTCGTGTAAAATTAAGCGCAATATCGCATGAACTATCAATATTGTATGCAAGCTTGTAAACGATTTCGCTGTTTATGCGATAGTTAAAATTCAGAATTTTTTTCTGTGTAGGGTTATCTCAAAATCGACTGTGTCTGAAGACGTCTAGGTCAATCAAGAGGATGCATATTTAAAGTAAACCATTTGGTTTTCTGATTTATACTCTCCTGGATTTGGAAGACATTTGTATGTGGGTCAACTGAGGTTTTTTTCTTTCTAGTTACATGTTTTGAAGTATAATGCCACTAAACCTTACTATATGTACTATTTATATCGCCAATTTATGTGCTGCTTAATCATATTTATGCCGCGGATACACTTGTATGACAAACTATGAGTATTACCATTATTTGTATAATGAAACTTATGCTCATCCATGTTCACACTTACATAGTAGGTTGGTTAAATATTGCACTTTGTCAAGAAACCTGGGAGCTCACCCTCCAAATGATAGCTAAGGGTTTTAGAAACAAACTTTTGTATGACGGCAACTTTGAGAAATGTTGCTTAGAGGTCGTTCCGAAGAGATTTTTGAAAAAAGTCCATTTTTCATAGCTGACATCGAAAAAACTATTTTTAATTCTTCAAATTTCATTAAACCAAACCTGTTCGTACACGAAGAAATCTTCAGCGCTATCTTTATGTCAATTGCATCGTAATTCGCCAATATTCGAATTAGATCGATATCGAATCCATCTTCGTTGCTCAATTTGACAGTAGCCTCCTACATTTGCGGGACAACGTACTTCCTATGGAGCAACTATAAAAGGCATCGACGAAGCAGTGGAAGTTCTCACCGTCTGTTGTGCTCAAACAAACTTCAATAGTTGTGTATTGAATTGTAGTTGATGAATTATAATAATCTTTTATAGTTTTATTTTAATGAAGCGATTATAGATTAGATTAAATTATTTCGAACAATTTGTGACAGTTCAGTGTAGAAATTACTTACCTGCATGATCCATGATTATGTGCACCTGAAAAGAAAAACTTACCTCAACCTGAAGACGTTTGCTGAGAAAAGTGTACTCACCTGAAATTTTACCTGTGCTGCTCTCGCTGATATTATCATCTGGTCCTTCAGACCGGATGAGCGTCGACACTCCGTTCATTCAAAAACGTGTTTTTTTCAGTGGACCTTTCCCCATATTGTGCCTGTGTTCTGAAAGAAGTTCAATTCATTGGACTGTGAAAGATTATCCACTATCTTCAACCTCATCTTCTGCTACAGCGGTGCTGCTGATTTTATTATTACAAGGCACTGAATTGCCTTACTTAAGGTAATTATATATCCAAGCTCTTAAACTTCCTCTCGTTTGGGTTACCTGGTCCTGTTCTCCAGTCTTCGGAACGTCGGATCAAGGCACTCAAGGTGCGCTTACGTTGCCTCCAAACAACATTCTCACTTATCCATACCATCATGGACGAGTTCAACGTGGATACTGATGTCCACCAGTGGATACTGATACTGATCCAGTGCGACTGGAGCATCTCTCGACAATCTGGATGGATTTCAATAAAATCCAATCGGAATTGGAATCGCTAAACGAAGTGGGCTTAGAGCAGCAGTTTAAATCACGCGGTGAATTCGAGTCTGCGTATTATAAAGTGAAAGGCTTTCTCCTCGCCAACAATAAAACTCCAGTAATACCGTGCTCACCTATTTCTCAATCAGCTGGCCATATCCTTCTTCCGCTTCACACGTGCGACTCCCCGACGTCAAGCTCCCTGTATTCAACGGAAACATCGACAATTGGTTAAACTTTCATGATCTCTTTATCTCGTTGGTACACTCATCTGCTGATCTCTCAAACATACATTAAAAATATTATTTGCGATCAGCCTTAGCGATCATCCACTGTGAAAAAGCCAACCACTCGTCACCTTGCTAGTCATGGCGCAGCTCATCTCAACACTCGAAAGTGCCTAATGTGCAGTGATCACCATCATGCAGCTCATCATTTTCGAACCTGAGCGTGGGGGAGAAAGAGAAAGAAGTACGACGTCATCAGCTTTGCCGCAACTGTCTGCGGAAGGAACACGTAGTGAAGTATTGTTCTTCATCCAGTACCTGTCGGATACCGCAGCCGTCATCATACTCAACTATGCGCCAACGATGGTTCAAATTCGGGAAAACCGAAACCGGAGCCATCAACCGTCAACCACTCTCCTTTAACAGATCAGCAATCTAGCCCCACCGTCTCAGCAACAGCAATCGATCCAGCCAGCTACGCTTCAGCAGGACAGAGCAGTAAAAGGGTTCTGCTAGCCACAGTAGTAGTCATCTTGGTCGACGATACCGGAGTTAAACACGCTGCACGAGCACTTTTGGATTCGGGCAGCGAGCAATGGTTGGAATAGGTCGGTCATCCACTCAGGCTCGACAATTTATTTCCACCATTCGTTCTCGCACCTCCGATTTCGTCGCTACTGTAGAATTTCTCGTTCTTTATTTGCCGTCCACGTCCATCGACATAACGTCGTGGAAAATTCCTCCGGAACTGCAGCTCGCTGATCCAACATTCTATCAAGCCAATCCTGTCGACCTCATTTTGGGTGCTGAAGTGTTTTTCGACATATTCAAATCGTCGGACAGAGTTAAACTACCTGAATTGATGGAAAGATTCTGGTCATTGGAAGAAGCTGTTGCATTTTCAGCAAACCGTCTCTAGCAATTCCAAAGGGCGCTATATCGTTCGCCTTCCACTGAAGGAAGATATATTGATCAACCTGGGCGACAACCGCAATACAGCAATCTGGCGCTTCCATCTGCTACAACGACGACTGACTCGTGACGAAGGCCTAAGTAAACAATACTGTGAGTTTGTGGATGAATACTACAATCTCGGTCACATGGAACGAGTGCAGAACCACGAGAATTTACCGGTACCGTGGTTTTTTTTTTACTTTTTATTTGTTTCAAATTCAAAATAAATTACATTTCATTTTAACCTAGGTGCTTCAGTTACTACAGTTACTTACCAGTCTTAATTGTTATGATATATAGCTAAGTGTTTTTACATTGTTCCTGTCTTGGCAATTCAGTATTTTAAACAGGTTTTTTAAACCTGCATGTCAGGAGAACAATTGATATCTTAAAACTAAAAACTAAAACTAAATCTTATCTAAGTATAAAGGGAATTAATCGTTGCAATTGAGGATTGCAACGATTTTTGCCTGAAATTATTAATTATTTTGTTGGACATTAGTTCTAAAGTCTCAACATTCGAAATTCTATGTACTTCGGTAGTACTATACCAACGAGGCAACCTCAAAATCATTTTCAGAACTTTGTTCTGAATCCTTTGAAGTGCTTTTTTCCTGGTAGTGCAACAACAAGACCATATTGGCACATCGTAAAGCATAGCCGGTCTAAAAACATGTTTAAATATTAGAAGTTTATTCGTTCAGGCAAAGTTTGGATTTCCTGTTTATAAGAGGATACAAACATTTTATATATTTGTTACATTTGGCTTCAATGCCCTCAATGTGATCTTTAAAAGTTAATTTTTGGTCAAGTATTAATCCAAGATATTTCACTTGGTTTGAACAGGAAATTGGAACGCCGTTCATAGTGACTATGTGACTACTACTAGGTTTCAAAAAGGAAGCTCTAGGCTTATGTGGAAATATTATAAGTTGAGTTTTGGAAGCGTTGGGAGAAATCTTCCATTTTTGTAAAT